TTTTTTTTTTTTAGTGCAAAATGGTGGTTTTATTAAACAAGGGGGCAGGACCCATGGGCAGAAAGAGCTGCTGCCCCCCACGCCCAATCCCACCCCACACCCACCACCCCCCATATATTCTTTAAATTTAAAAAGTGGTTTTTGGTGTACATGTAGTTGTCCTTTATTTAGGTGAAAGCAGAATGGAATGAGAAGGTGAAATGACATAATCTCTGTTATTTCAATCTGCCTCCTCTGGCCGGCTCAGTTTTATCTTCTCCTCTCTCTTCTCACTCTGAGAATAATAGCTACTGTTAAATCAAGCCCTTAGTTTTTGCAAAGCGCCATGCTCAGTATGTTATGTACATTACTTTATTCTCACAGCAACCTTGTGATGATTCCCATTTATAGAGGAGGGGACTGAGGCTCAAAGAGGGAAAGTAACTTTCCTACGATTATGTAACTAAAAAGTGTTAAGGAAGGTATTTGATCCAGGTGTTTCTAACTCCAAAGGAAGGGTTCTTAAATACTACACAACACTGGTTACTCTTAATTTTGAATGAAGCCCAGCATTGGGAAAGAGGTAAGTGAATGGGTGGTAGTTCATTCAATGGCATTCAGTAGGAGTGGTGTGATTCTTGATGTGGCAGTCTGTTAGTTTGTGCAGGTGTTTTGGTTGGCATAATGAGCGGGGTAACACTGCTGAAATTTATCGGGCTGGGCCCAGGGATGTCAGACATGCTGGAGTGTGCAGGAAAGTCCCACAGTAGCCTAATACCTGTTTTACATAAGAGCACAAAATATCAGTTACATGGTTTTAATATACACTGAATTTTCCAGGAATGCAATAAATCAAAACAAGACTGTACTCCCTCCCCCTCTCCTCCTGTTGCTGCTTTACCGAGGGGTGTCCGCTAGTTTGGAAAACTACGTCACCAGTGGCCTTGCTGCCTTCTCTTTGAGGCACAGGTACAACCCACTGTACTACTCTACCTCTGGAGCTGTTGCTTTCGTGGTAATTCTCTGTATAGGTGCCCGTAAAGACTAGTGTAAAAGTACTGAAATGCTTTGAGAACGGCTTGGCTCTGCTACTCTGAGCTTCCTTCCTTTGCACAGGATTCTTTTTTTTTTTTTTTTTTAAAGATTTTATTTATTTATTTGAGAGAGAGAGAAAGCATG